CCATAATGTATTATAGTAAGGCAATTCTGATATTACATTTGATAACAATCCTTAAATATGGCCCTAGAATATGAAGCTGCAAAATCCAAACATAGAGTACAGACCTGTCTACCTGCAAACATGTAAAATTGCCCCCAAATCTCCCTGGTGCAAAATGTAAACTTCTATCAGCTAAAATGTAAGAGAATAATACTCCTTATTTGCAGCAGAAGATACAAAAATCAGACTTAGACTGATTTATGACAAGAATGTAAAACACTGAGAATGAATGCCACTTTTGTAAGTAAAGTTTTGTGCTTCTTTTTGCAATCAAAGTAAAGCATGGAACAACACTACATCTAAAGACAGGGGAGCATTAATACAAATTATATTTTTATTTCTCTTGAAGACTGCTGCTTCTTATGTACTACCACACACCTGGCAACGAAGCTGCACCGGGGCTTGACAGTAATCTTTTGGTGCATCATAAACATCAGGTGCCTGAAGTATTAGGAATGATGTGTACTTTATCTTAAAATGCTGCAGGACTGGCTGGTACAGCAACTGCAGTGATTCCCAGCTTGAGAGTTTCTTGCAACACAATCATTCTTTTTTGTTGTTTGTTTAGAAAAAGCTGTGACCACTGCCTCCTTTATTCAGTCCCTTCTCATTCCTCATACATATACAAACCTCTCCAAGTTGCGCCACAAGTGAAATAAAAAATAATTTCTAGGATCATCAACAATCTTTGTATATGTATACAGGTTTCTATAACTCTATCATATCACTTTGAGGAATCTTTTTCCAGAACATATTTATTTAAACAACTTATTCATTTCCCTGTATCCATCCATTCTTTTATCTGTTGGAAACCTGCAGGAAAAAAAATTGTGCCTTGCTCAACCAGGGAAAGATTTTCCCACGTTAATACAAACTGATTAACACAGAACTTTTTGGTAGGAGAGATATGAACATATGTGTGTAAGTTTATACATTTTTCATAATTGTATCTATACATATATATGCTTTACATATACAAATATTTAATGACTGCTCTTCAAAATAAAACAAAATACTGTTTCTCTTAACCAGGTGAGTAGATCAACTTGATGTACTCTCCAGAACAAGATGAACAGAATTTTCCCAGTAGTCTTTAAATTCTAGAGTGAATACACATTATATTTCAGCCATTAAGAGACTCCATTTTCTCCTGCAAATATTTAAATATTTTTTATTGACTCACCCTTTGAAAGCACTGTTTCTAAAGAATGTTTAGAATATGATTGCTGAAGCAAAAAACAAGGAAACATGCTAATGTATGGCTGTTCTAACTTCCCAGTTAAACGCTGTTCTTCATGCACATCAACCTCATGAGTACTTGAATCACAAATGGTCTATTTTCACAGACCCTAAGCATTTGCAGCTCTACTATGTCAATGCCTATCTTATGCTGTAGGTATTCAGCGTCCTTGTCTATTAATCCAAAATGTTATATGTACCTATATGTGTGCATGTTTAAACTAATTAATATGGCACTGAATAATTTCATTGTTCATTAATAACATGGGATAACTGCATATAGCCAAATGCTACAAAGTAGTGAATAAACAACAAGTTTTTAAACCTTGTGACTAATGAAGAGAAGATGCTTACAAGATTACACAGCTCTAACACGTATCAAGCAGTTTTTTACTCAAGTGATGGTCCTTTGGTGTCAGTCTGAAACCCATAGCCAATGAGTTTAACCCACAGGTGTACATTGATACAAACTGAGCTGTATGTAGAACAAAATTCTATTCATCAGAAATCGGGGAATCATAATACTTACTGATGTTAATAGCCATTACTGCAAAGAAAAAAAAATAGGCACTCCTAATAAGAGTGAGAAAACCTGGATCTTACTAAGAAAGAAATTATTTATTTGATTTTAAATATTTATAAACTCAGTTGAATGTACTAAGTAATAATAGAACACTTAGTATGTGTATATATATAAATCCATAGTGTATAAGTAAATATATTTATATGTATATAAACATAAAGTTTTAATAACGGCTTCCTGTTACAGAAATCTGCCATTAAACACTTGCCGAGAAAATGAGAGTGAAGGAAAGCAGGTCCATTGTATAAATTATATAGTGTAAGATTATCACGACTCAGTAATATATCTGGAAAAAACTAAAGTGAATATTCGCTACAAAACATTTAGCTTTCCTTTACTGAGGTAACAACACCTTTTTGCTTTTTTGAGCTGTTTGGATTCTGCACCTTCACCCTTCCCTCCCCCCCACTGTCTATACCTTTGATTCTAACTGTGCAATTTGCGCTTCCAGACAGAGATTTTCTGGATTGATTAAGGATGTATTAGATGCAGAGAGAGGGCTTATCCTTTACTGTTTCTCTGTAAGTTTGCAGTTTGAATTTTACATGACACAGAAATAAAGAACCAGACAGAAAGTACTTGTCTACATTCTAAATGTACATTCTACTGTCTAAATGCAAATCTTATATAATATTTACTCTAGAGATGGAGAATACAAAATGTATTTTAGTAATACAAAATCATAGCAAAGAGGATCAGATATTCCCATCTAGCTACTTTGAGTCTGGGACTTTCCTGAATAGAAAACTGCTTGGTTTCATATGCTGTTTTGTTTTGTTAATGTAACTACAAAGTACAGCATTAAAAACTACGTTTGAATGAGTGTTCACTACAGAAAAAAATGTTTCCTAATCTGCTATCTGCACCATCTATACATCCCAAGCACTCTGTGTAAACATTCAAGGAAAGCAAGAGCAAAACATTACATATGTATGTTCTATGTGAAGTTATGGTAAACATTTCCCACAGTTCCTGTGTTGAAAACTCTTATAGAAACCACAACACACCTTTTTATGGGAGGAAATTCCTCTTAGAGCTTTATATATGTCTCAGGGAAAAAAAGAAAAAAAAAAGTCATGACTGATATACAGTGAACACTGTAAAAAAGGAGTCATATTTTCCATAGGGAGTTTACACTACAATTGAATCTTTACTACTCAGTAGCATCAATACATGAATTAATTGCTTTATATAGACATTACATGGTTGTAGAAAGGTAAAATTTTCTGTCTTTCAGTAACTATTACACTTGTCAGTAGGTTAAAAAATATATTATTCTTTTTTTTTGTTTTCATTATGACCACTCAATTTTACATTAAAAAATAAAAATAAAAAATAAAAATTGACATTACTTAAATATGTCATTGAAAGTTATTTGTCTTGTAAAGCATGAATTATAAATCAAATTATGTCTGGTTGTGTCCTAACCTAAACTTTTTCCTGAAGTGTCACTTTTTGTTAAAATCAATTCCAGATTTTAAGTATTGTTCTGCTCACCTAATTGATAGCAACACAACTTCATGATAGGCATAAAATGGTTACTGTGACACAACTCAGTAGCAGATTGAGGATTATTTCACAGTGACCTTGTACAGACAGATTTTTATTGTTTTGTTTTGTTTTTTTTTTTCTTCTTTTTTCTATTTGTTTTTTTCTGTTAAAAGTATTCAATTCACAGTTACCAGAATTTTGGTTACTTGACAATTACTGATGGCCACTTCTACTTAGTTTAAAATGTTAGATGCAGCTGGCAACTAGAACATTCGATGTCCACAGACTGCAGGGTAGGATAACTCAAAGGTATAATGAATTTTCTTTCAATACATCAAGTGTCTACAGTGCAACTTCTTTCCCACTAGCTGCATACACAAAATGAGTCTGTGTCACTTCTGATACACTCAGCTCATTCCCCTATGACTCAGAACAGCATATTAGGAGAACCACAGGACAAAACAGATATGACATTTCAAATATATTTAATAGTCATTATCCAGAGCCTGCTTTCAATCCAAAAGTTAAAAATCACTTTGGAACATACCTGTAGTATTTGAACATTAAGCTGCATTAATCATGAAGTAATATTTTAAATTAAATCAACTGGAGCCAAATTCTGCCTTCACCTTCACTCTGTGAGTTCACTGTTCTGGAATATATCTTCTGGGTTTGGATTTTAAACTATCTGCTAGAAATTAAGTCATTTGATCAGCATCCTCTATCCAATGGTCCAAATTCTGCCATTTCTCAGAGTCACAAAAGTCAGTAGAGGACAGTGTGGATATAACTGACAGCAGAATGCAGCCCAGCTGTAATTTCTAAATGAGCTTTGGTAAAAGACAGAGCACATAAGTCTTTCACTATAAAGCAATAATCAATATTGAGTCAGGCTACTGGAAATCTGACTAGTTGTTTTGCTGTTTTATGACAGGATATGAGTTTTGTTAACATTTGGGGGTAGAAAGGAGCTGCCACGTACAATTTTTCTACTTGACTAAGCAAAAATTGGAGGTTGTTTATGGGGAGAGGAGGAGGCAATGGGGCCCCAATGATACTGTTCTGTGTCAAAAATAAATATTTATGTATATATATTCTAAAGAAGGAAATTAAACAAAAATTAAAAACATACATCTGGAAAAGATAGCTCATATTTACATACAGGATTGGAGGGCTATTATATACTGTTGCAATAGATGTCCTCAGTGTGTAGAGTTTCTCCCATGTCAAGTTACTACAGATGATATGACTGCTTCAGAAACATCCTCCCCCTTCTACGCCCCAAACCAAAGCAATGTGAAACCTGTGGAAGTGCCCACCACTGTCTGATGATCTTCTGGGAAAATAATCCAAAGTGCCCCAAGTGACCCAAAATTAAGTGCCTACCTGCACTCTTACATGCACCTCTTTTACACTGCTCCATTTCTTTCAGTGAGCACTTACTTTTGAGCCACACAGGAAATGCCAGTGTGACAGCAGAACCAGACACATCAAATGTGATCTGTTTCCACTTTTATTAAGTCCACCTCTCCTTAATGACTTGGGTTGATCTCCTCAGTGATGCCTTACAGCAGATTTCACTGCAGACAAAATGTAAAGTTAAACCAGCGTCTAAAGTGAGGTCCAGGGTATTCTAAAAGTCTCCTACCTGAATTATGGACATCCGGCTCGGGGGAGCCTCGCTGGCGTTAGTCCCTTGCCCTGTGAAGCTGGTATGGCAGCCCACATGTCCCTGGGGTACAGTCAGGTTGTTGGAGGCGGGCTTCAGGTACATCACCTCAGACCTGGGAGAGCTGAGGGGCAGGCGGGTCTGGTAGTCAAAGTACATGGGTGAGGTGGCCAGGGATGGGCTGCTCACCACGTTCATGACATTGAGGGGGCCCCGGCTGTCCTCGCCCTCACTGGGCACCAGCATAATGTCATTCTTGCTGATCTTCTTCTTCTTGCCCTTGCCCCCTCCACTGCCACTGCCTCCTCCTCCCCCGCCACTGCCTCCCCCTCCTCCCAGCTGAGGGTGGCTATACTCAGCAATGCGACAGTTATAGGTTCGGATCTCCTTGTTCTCTCTCTTGCATTTCACAGCAATAGTGATCATGGCAGCCAGCAAGATGATGGAGACAGTGCTCAGGGTCACGATCAGGGGCAGAGACAAGTCCCAGTGTGGTCGCCGGTGCTGCTCGCCATTCACTTGCGGCTCACCAGCCTCAGGCAGGGGCCCTGCCAAGGCCCTCACAATGAGCTTGGCCACTGCAGAGAGGCTGGGCTTGCCATGGTCACTGACTTTTACCACAAGTTCAGCCACAGGGCTGAGCTCCTCCCAGTAGGGGTGCAAGGTACGTATCTCACCACTAGTGGGGTCCATCTCAAAGAGGTGCTCCTCGTTGCCTTCCACAATCTCGTATGTGAGGCGCCCACTCTCCCCAAAGTCACTGTCCAGGGCACGGACAGTGCCCACCGGGTAGCCCACCCCGGCGTTGCGTGGCACCTGCAGCTCGGCAGTGTCATTGATGAGGGCAGGCAGGACAATGAGGGGTGCATTATCATTGACATCGAGCACAGTGACACGTACTGTGGCATTGCTCTCGCGGTGGGGCGAACCCGAGTCCTTGGCCAGCACGCGAAACTCAAAGTGCTTTGTCTGCTCATAGTTGAAGCTCCTCAGGGCATAGATAGCACCATTGGTTGGGTTGACAGAGACATAGGTGTAGATGGAGACATCGCCTACGTGCCCAGGCAGAATGGAGTAAGAAACTGTCCCATTTTGCCCTAGATCCGGGTCCTGGGCCAATACAGAGCCCAGGTATTCTCCAGGGATATTGTTCTCAGGCACCTGCAACACATAGAGGTTCTTGCTGAAGCGGGGTGGGTTGTCATTCTCATCGAGGATCCGGACAGAGAACGACTTGGTGGAGTTGAGTGGTGGGTTGCCCCCATCCCGTGCCACGATGGTCACATTGTATTCGTCCTGTGCCTCACGGTCTAGGGGACGGTCGGTGACCACAGTGTAGAAGTTGTCGTAGTTCTCCTCCAGGGTGAAAGGGACGGCTCCAGGCCCACCACCACCGCCCAGCACCCGGCACTGGAGCTGCCCATTCTTGCCAGAGTCACGGTCGGTGACCCGCACCAGAGCAATGACAGTGCCTGGTGGGGCAGCCTCACTCAGTGCTCCCTGGCGAACAGACACAAAGCCAATGGTGGGCGCATTGTCGTTGCGGTCAATGAGACGAACGGTGACTTTACAGTGAGCAGGGATAGGGTTGGGTCCCAGGTCCCGAGCCTGGACATCGATCTCTATAAGGCCACTCTCCTCGTAGTCCAGGTTGCCCTTGACACGGATGAGGCCACTCTGTGGGTCGATGCTGAAGAGGTCGCGGACACGCTCAGGTGCGTAGCCACTGAAGGAATAGAGCACCTCCCCGTTGGTGCCCTCGTCGGCATCAGTGGCATTGAGGTCAATGACAGCTGTGCCCAGTGGTGCATTCTCTGGCAGTTCCACCACATAGGAGGCTGCCTCAAAGACAGGGCTGTTGTCGTTGGAGTCAATGAGGCGCACATTGATCTGCACCGTGCCTGAGCGTGGTGGGTCACCGCCATCCAGTGCCGTCAGCACCAGGGTGTGGTGGCTCTGTTCCTCACGGTCTAATGGCTTCTGGATGACCAGCTCCGGAAACTTTGTGCCATCACCACGGGACTTCACGTCAAGGGAGAAGAGGCCATAGTCATCACGGGTGAGCAGGTATGTGCGCAGCCCATTGTCCCCAGCATCTGGGTCGTGGGCGCTGGTGAGGGGGAAGCGGGTGCCCGGTGCAGCGTTTTCTGAAATGTCCATGTCCACCTGGTCAGAAGGGAACGCTGGTGCGTTGTCGTTCAGGTCCTGGATCTCCACCTTGATCATGCAGATCTCCTGGTCGTTGGCGAACACCTCGAGGGACAGCTGGCACTTGGCACTGCGCCGGCACAGCGCCTCGCGGTCAATGCGCTGCTTGGTGTAGAGCAGCCCGCTCTCCCCGTCCACATCGAGGAGGTGCGGGGCTGAGTTCTCCAGCACCCTGAAGGTGGACTTGGCGCCGCGACCACCGCCGGGGCCGCCGCGCTCAGCGGGCAGCATCCCACCGCCCGCCGTGCCCGCCGCCAGACGCGCATCGCGGCCGATGTTCCCGATTACCGTGCCCGCTCCCTGCTCCTCCGGCACCGAGTAATTCAGGTTCTTCAGCGACAGGGCGGGAGCCCAGAAGAGGAAGAAGCAACAAATGGAAAGGTACATCCCCGAGCAGGGGTGGGGGTGGCAGCAGCTGCAGCGGCGACCAGGGTTGTCCCCGTCTTCTCTGCCTCCTGTGCGGGGATTGCTCTTCCTCCTCCAACACCGTTCCTTTTTTTTTTTTTTTTTTCTTTTTCTTTTTTCCCCTCCTCTCTCCCCACCCCTATATTTTAAGTTCCTGAACCTGTTGCTCTAAAACATCTGCAGAGACACAGGATGAGAGGCAGCAAATGGACCATGTAGCTCAGAGGGAGGGAGCGAGCGAGCGGGGGGGCCGCGGGGGAGGGGGAGCAGCCTCGGCAGCCTTTCAGCAAGCGCTTGCCGTGCTTGCAGTCCCCTCGCAGTTACTTCGGCTGTCCAACTTCGGCAGTGGGAGGATTTCAAAAATCAGAAAATTGGCAAAAAGGTCTTCTCCTTTGGGCAGGCGAAGTGTTCCAGATCCTTGAATCTCCGCAGATGTACAAAGGATAGTAAAAATAACAAACATAAAAAATCGGCGGCGGTGGTTGTTTTTCTAAAAACGATCAAAAAGATTTTTTTTAATACGTGTATTTATATATACATGGGGAAAGGGGTGGTGGCCACAGGTCTGTAAGCAAGGGGAGAAAAGCTTATTTGCTACTCATCCCTTGCGATGCGATTGATAGAGTGAAGGGATGAGAGAGAGACAGGAGGGGAAAGAAGTCTCAGCTTGTTGTTGAAGCCTTCTTCGTGTGCAGTGAGAGGCAGTGAAATGTCTGATTGCACCGCGGGGTTGTTGGTTTTCAGGGAGTGTTTTGCTGCATTTAGAGATCTAATCTTGCATTGCTTGCGGCAGAGAGCTGCATCTCGCTGCCACCGGTATTTCCCCCTCTCTGTCTCGTACACCCTCACTCTTTCCTTCCCGAATCACAAGGCAAGGGAATTAGAATTGGAGGGTAGAAGGGAAAACAAAACAAAACACATAACAAACTAGTGTCCGGATTTGTAGTTTTCTTTCTCTCCCTCTACTACCGCCTCCCACTCAACCGTTTTGGGGTGGAAAAATATTAAGAAACCCACCAGCTGATCATCATACCTAGCAGTAAACATATATCTTTTAAGAGAAATCACAGGCTGTGTTCAATCAGATGCACACTTGGGTTTCTTTAAGACAGGCCAGTAGCCGCCGCCACCACCACATCCTTTCTCTGTGTATCTATGCGTGTGTGCGTATGCGTGTCTGAGGAGCTGCACTTTTCTAGATGCAGTTTAATTCCAGTTTGCTTTTCTCTCCAGTCAAGAGGAAATCAACAGGCAACCCATGGCTGCACGGATAGATAAAAAAAAAAAAAAAAAAAAAAAAAAAAAAAAGCGAGCGAGAGGGAAAGGAAAGGACTAAGGGGGTGGGGGGAAGAGAGAGAGAAAGAAAGAAAAGCCACCACACACACACTCTCTCAGTCTCTCGCTAAAAGGGAAACAGTCTCTGTATTCACAAGGCTGCGCTGTCAAGTGCCTCTCTTTTCTTTCTATTCAGTATCTCCTTCCAATGACACTGCCGCCTAGTCCTCTTCATTTAAGGGAGGGGAGAGGAGAGGAAGAGAAAAAACAATTTGGGTGATGAATAAAGTGGCAGATCTTTTAATCGACTAATTCGCTTGTATTAAAGCCTATGCAGTTCCGTGGCTGGTGTGATGCATTTTTTGCAGCCCTTTCAAGCTTTAGTAGTCTCTCTGGGCATCTTGGTGTAGTGGGGAGAACAGCAGCAACGCTGGATACATTCACCCTGTCTGATTTACCTTTCCCAGTAAAATGATGTATAAGTAAATATTGGGGAATGGTAAATTTTATTTCAGGTTCTTTTTACAACCAGAAATAAATGAATGGCAGATCCAGAAATACAGGTGTTTGAATGTGCTGGATGAGTCAGATCCAGCGGAACAAATCACATTCACTATCGCCTCATGTTCCTCCCTTCACAGACATTAGTTGCAGCTTCTTCCTAACGCTTCTGACTCACTCTATAGACAGAAAAAAAAAATAATCAGATTTATGTTTTGGAGGGAAAAAAAAGGAATGAAAGAAGGGGGTGTCGGATCCAGCTACACTTTTACTATACCTCTTTCTCCTGGAGACTGAGGATCAGGAAAACAAGGCTGTTATCCACTCACTGGCACAGAGGCGCGTCTGTCTCCTGCTTTGCTGAGTGTTTTTAACCACCTTTCCTCAGTGTTATGTGTGAAATAATCAGAGATCTTTCAGATTAAGATAGCAAAAAAAATAAAAAACAACCCATAAGTTCCCAATGCACAGCTCACAGATCTAGTTCCAAGTCTCAGTCCTGCACTGCTTTTTTTCCTCCTTTATTTGAGTCCGGACCCCAAAGTACACAGTTAATTCTGCAACCTGTGGTGAAGAGGCTCTCAAAACCCCAAGAAAACACCCGATCTCTTCTCCGCCTCATTGACGGGTGGCCCCTCTCAAACAGACGGTCTCCAGCCTCAGCCAGACAGCACGCAAAAGCCACGCCGATCCCTGGTAAGCCAGATCCATTTCACCAGCCGCCCGCGGAGCAAGTGGAGGTTCAGCGAAAATTCAACAGTTGGAGCCGCTCGCTCTCTCTCTTTTTTTTTTTTTTTTTTTTTCCTCTCCTCCGCCTCGCCTCCCTCACTGCAGCACTGGCGGTGCCGCCACGCCGCGCCGCGCTCGCCCAGCGCCGCTCGCCGACTGCCTCTATGCGCCGCACGCCGCGGCTTAAACATTGATACTGATTCACGCGCAGCCAATCGCCGGCCGAGCCGACGGACCGCCCCGGCGCCGCTCGGCCAATGGGGGGGCTGCGCAATTCGGGGGGGGGCCGGGGGCGGGGCGGTGGCGGCGGGCGCCGGGTGCCATTGATGAGATCGCGGCGCTGCCGGGCGCGCAGCGTGTGCGGGGGTCGGGCGGGTTGAGGGGGCACCCCCCATACATACCCCATCCACAACCACCCTTCATTCCCCCCCTCCGTCCCTCCCTTCACTCTCCCCTTCACCCCCGCCCGCGGTTTTCCTCCCTTTCTATTTTTTTTTAATTTTTTAAATTTTTGTTATTTTTCCTTTTTCTTTTTTTTTTATATTTTTTTCTTATTTTTATTTTTGAAATCTTCTTATTTTAAAATTTTTCTTTTTATTTTTTCTTTTATTTTTTCTTTTATTTTTAATTTTATTTTTAATTTTATTTTTATTACTTATTTATATATTTATTTATTTGTTTTTAAGACGTATTGACAACTCCTCCGTGATGACGGGTTAAAAAAAAAAAAAAAAAGGAGGAGACGCGAGGTTTTTGGGGTGTGTGTGTTTATGTGTGTGTGTATCGGGTGTGACACCCCAGCCGCGCTCCTCCTTCAAATCGCTCCGAGGGAGGTGAGCGGGGAACACTGGACCCCCTCCCCACCCTCTTCCCTCCTCGGGGACCCGCACAGCCCGGGGCTGCGGGAGGGGAGGGCGGGTGGCTGGATGGGGAGCCCCCACCGCATGCCCCCGCCGCGGTTCTTGCAGGAGCCGCCCCGAGTGGGTCTCATCCTTCCCATCCTCGGCAGGAGCACGGGGGACCACCCCAGGGAAAGGGGGGTCGGTCACGGCGGCATCCTCCGGTGCGGGGTTCGCGGTCGCGGCGCCCGCCTCCACCCCCGGCACGGCGCTGGGGGGGGGGGCTCTGGGGCGCGGGGGGAGGCCGGAGGCTGGAAAGGTGAGAGCTTGGATTGCCGGAGTGCCGAAAGGAAGCTGCCATTTGCGAGCTGTGAGTGACGAGCGTGTAAGTAGCATGAATCATTTAAGGTTTAAGAAAGAAAAAAAAAAAAAAAAAAAAAAAAAAAGAGAGAGAGAGAGAGAGAAGGGGAGGGAGAGACCAATTCTGGAGCAATTGTAAGACGCTCCTCACAATTATTTTAGTAGCGGCTTTTAAAAGATTGGGCTAAGGAAACTGCTTTTCTGCCTTGCTCAATAGGATAACCTCCAGCCCTTTCTGAGTTATGGCCATAAACATCATTCTCATTGGAGAAAGTCTTACTAATGTATAAATCCAAGTAAGTGCTTTTTCTAGACCCAACCCCCGTCCTGAAGATTTCTTTGCAGCTTTGAAACGGATAGTTTGCCATGCAGAACGAGTCTGCTAGTAACCATTGTAAAACTAATGCTGTGTTAAAATGCGGTGTATAAATAAACTATACATACATTAGTGGCAGCGTAAAATCACTACTCTCAGACGTGCCAACTTTCTACGTGAGAGCGACAGACAGACGAAATAAAGGATATGTTTACAAAATAGGCTTCGCTTTCTGAATGTAGGCTTCAGATTGGCTGAGGAAAATCGGCGTATTCGTCCAAGTCACTTATTTGGAAAAGTCACCTATAAAAAGCAGCACTATTTTTAAAATGTGACAAACACCAGAGTTAGCCCCTGAGCTACCAGGAGACCTCGTATCACCGCAGCTTGAGTCCTGTGCTTTCCTTTCCTTATTCTGTAGCCTATGCCAAGCCCGCAGGGTGTCTCAGGTTGTCCAGGTATCTTCTATGCAAGTTCTGCTAACTGGGGAAAGTGGTCATTGCAATTATGTCATGGCTCCCTCTAGCGAGCTAGGAAGTCTGCTGCATTTGGGGCATGTACTGTGCACGCGTGTACGATAACTGGTTTTAGGAGGGAGCAGGTGGAGCACCAGCAGGATAAAACAATTTCAGTATTACAATGACATATACTGTGTAATAGGTTTCTTGCAGTGTATCTCTTGGTCTGTTTATGTTAAAAAGATAATTAAAAAGAAGAAGAAAAAAAAAAACATGTATTTGACTTTTTGGGTGAGGAGGCCAGTGTCTCCATCACTTTTTTCAATAGCCTAGTGACTGCCTTTCTCTTTTATGTGACTCAGCATTACACAGTAAATACTCAGACTCCACAATGAAGTCAATACATTTGAGGGCACTCTGCAGTTTGTAAAACAAGTACTCGGGACTCTGAATTAAAAGGGAAAACTATATAATCCTTTATTCAAGTAACGGGAGTCTTTGCTTGTAAATTCTGCCTTTTTCTTCCATCAAACACCTTGCAGCTTACAACATCCCATTGGTGCCAACAACATGCATAGAATACTTAGAGGGAAAATAAATTCTGAATCACAACACTAGATCCTCAAACCTATGACTGACTATGGTGATGATCGTAAGTGAAGGTCTTATCCCTTCACCCTACAATTCACTGTGTTTTAGTCCTAACTTTATCAGACCTATTTTTTAATACTCATTTTCAGTCATGATTATTAGCGAGTTCAACTGATTTCTTGGAAATCACATCAGCTTGACATCTTTAAAAATTGTGGCACTTAATCCCAATAGAGACTTAGGTGCCTAACTGGAAAAAGTCAGGTAAAAAACTATTCCTGCATATGAATATGTGCCTCTGCCAGACTGATGTTTGTTACATCAGACAGTTTATAGCAACAAAATGGCATTTATTGATTTTAATCCACCTGTGCAAGTAATGAATATTTTATTTGTTCAATGATTTTACAGTATATCTAAAATGCAGTGTTTTTTTGTTTTTTTTGTTTTGTTTTTTTTTTCTGTCAAATTTGTAGTACAAACTACCTATTTGATAGCTTAGAGTATCATCATAATTTTCTATACTATTTTTCTATACTATGGAAATTCTGTGCTGTATTTTTCACGTAGAAAAGACGGAAATAAGATGTGTGAAGGTAATGCCAATGAGGGCCAATGATCCCTATGTGCTGTGCCATGTCATTGTGTATTAAATATGGATTGAAAAAAAAAGAAACAAAATATGAACTGAATCTTAAAATACTTATTAGCAGTTTTGTGATAAAACTGTAGTGTAGAGGGGCTAATACATGGACAAAATGGAAATCTTAAATAATCCTTCTATATGTGTATTCCTATTACACTATCAGGCTGATCAAGGAAAATATATTAAATGCACTGTGCTGGAGAAACTCAGCAAAGGATCAAAGTCCAATATAACAGCTCTAACAGTGATCTTTGTATGGAGGAATCAAATAATGATTTGGAAATCTATTTTTAACACTTGAAATGTTTGTTTATTGAAAGCTGTAATCTCACATCAACCTAAATAACAGGTAGTAACAAGACTTATCTCAAAACCAAGTTTGTTTGTTTTTTTTTTTTTAAAAAAGGACACTAAGTGTTTTTTTTTTTTTTTAAAAAAAAAAAAACAAGCAAACAATAAAACATGAACATGATGCAATGTTACCCTTTTTTTCATTATTATTATTTTTTTTGTGGGGAATATTTGTTATAAAATCTAGTAGTTTATTCTGTTCTCAGCAAGAACAGGTAAACCTTTATCCCCAGTCCCATCTCCCATCCCCTAACTCCCCCCCCCAAAAAAAAAAGAAAAAAAAAATATATATATATATAAACAAGAATTATCCTCAATCAAAAGTTTTCAAATGAAAATCTTTAGTCTCAGCATGAAGGGTACTTAGCAAAAAGTCTCAGAACAAACATCCCTAAACAAATAAAAGAAAATGGGAAGGCAAGGAAAAGATCAATATAGTTAAATGTCAAGGTTCAATATTTAAGTTATTTGAGCCTAAAATGTATCATTGGGAAAGTCCAAATCCAATCATCTTGAAAACAATAGAAAGAGGTAAAATTAGAAAAGTGGAGGAAGGAATTTGAGGAACAAAGAATCCATCTATCAGAGAATCAAAGTGACTGCTAAAAAAACAATCATATGCCTTATCAAAATGGGGAAGCCATAAGACAAAATTTGTGGACCTATTAGTTGGTCAGCTATAAAAGAGATAGCATTGCAGAGAAATTACATTTCTGTACTGTAGTACTCATAGCAAATGAAGATATTTCCTCATCATCTTTCTTTTTAGTAACAAAGATGAGATGTGGGTGTATATTGAGGTGTCAAGACAGAGATTCTCAAAGAGCAGAAAGTATCTAACTAAATGGTAGTCATCAAGAGTTCTTACAGAATCTAAAAATGAAGTAAATCAACTGTTAAAAATATGCTGTCATTAAAATCAGTTACTATGTGTGAGGATTAAAAGTTACAAAATCTGTTTATCTTCAAAAAAGACTAAAAGGGTGATCAAGGAGTTACAGTGTGGCAAGCTTTACTTTTAGTACTAGGAAAATTAGTTGAAATGACAATAAAAAATAGAAATCATATGGCATCTAGAGAAATGTAAGAGAACTACTGTCCAGAAACTCAATGAAATCGATAGAAACCTTTCCACTGATTTGATGCATCCCATCATGACAAAGTAGCAGAACTTACACAGATTAAAAGGGCATTTCTTCCGTTTATTAGTATTGTTTCAAAGTACCAACAGAACAATAGATTAGATGACTTCTGCGGCTCTGCATGGAAGTAGTTTTATGTCAATTTAAACAGCAAGACATGTGGAAGAAAGAACAGTTACTGAGAAGGGGAATAAGAACTGACAGTGCAGTAGGTAACGGCAAGAGAAGTGTTTGAGCAGATGGTATTAGTGGACTAATGGAGGGCAGGAGCCAAGAAGTGACAGAAATTCAAAAAGGATGCTGAAGTGGAGCATTGGGCTATTAGAACACTTCAGGGAAAGGGAAGCAGGAAGAAGGGGATAAGCCTGAGATTGTCACTGAAACATTTAAGACCTGCTTCTTCCATCTTGCTGGGGCATATTACATTTACAGTTATACCTCTGTTATTCTAGGAGGGAAAAAAAAAAAAAAAAAAAAGAAAAAAAAGAGAAAGAGAGAAAAAGAAGAAAAAAAAAAAAAGGAGAGAGGTTCATAAAGCTTAGAGAAAGGGTGACTTGTTAGGCCATGGATAAGTGGCTTAGGACTTGGATTCTCATGTTTCTCTTCAGGCATGTTGTCTAATTTAGCACAGAATACAGAAACAACAATTTATTTAGCTTTATTTTTAAGTGAAATCTGATCTTTGAAGCTTAAAACCCTTGTAGGAGTGCTGGTAGTGCTCACTTTATGGAAAAGGTAGAAGCATATCCAGCTCTAAGATCAGGCTAACTGACATACATTGCGCAGATGAAACAAATCAGTTGTCACAGCCAAAGTGAATAGCTAGCAGTTAACTGGAGTTACCTAACTATACTAATACAAAATTTGAAGGAAGGAAAACACATGACATTTTGCTTGGAATATTGTTTCTCTGCATACCAAAATTCAAAGACATACCTACGTGTTACTTGAATGCAAAGAAAGAATGCACAGAGAATAAGCAGGAACAGGATGAACAGAGGTATTGAAACCTCTATTATCATATAGAATTAAGCATTGACACTGTATGACAACGGTCCTTTGGGACCCCACTGAAACTCAGGTGTGGAGCATACATACTACCCCATATGCTTCAAAGTTATGTACAGTGATGTACATAAGTTATGTACAGTGAGCTTAAGTATGGAAAGAATCTGGTTCTCCTGTCTTCATTATAAAAACAACAATGACAAAACAAGATTACTGACAAAATGGAGTGTGAGGAAGCCGGTGGGTGTTTTTCATGTTTCTTACACAGGAATGTCCCTAGGGACATTAATAATATGGGTAATAATTTGGAATTCACTGAAATCTCAGCATAGTGTGTCACTGCACCTCCTTTTAGGAATAAAATAACTGCACCTTCTATGTTATGATATTATTGAGAGCAGGCTGATATTGTTGCTGAGTCAAGCTGAATCTCTGGCTAGCTCTGCAGAACCAATAAGTTTCTTAACTGAAACATCACAGGCTTCCCACATTTCACACCTTCAAGCTTCAGGA